AAAAATAAAAAAATGATGAAATAAAATTTGAGAAAAAAAAAAAGTATAGTTATTTTGAGATAGGAATGGAGATAAAAGGTGGTGTATTACTGAAACTGAAAATAGCTAGCAATCAAATTGAGATAATCAAATTGTCACATACCTTTGATTAATTACTGATGAGTTGGTGGATTAGCCATTGGTGACGGAGGCTTAAACGGGTTTGCCTTGTCAACAATGATGGTTTGATTGTTTAACTCCTGGCTAATGCCTGCAGCTTCAAGAATAAATAGTATCATGATAGAAACTATAAAGAGGAAAGAGATGAAGAAAAGTTTGCTTGGAGGGGCCATTTATATGGTGCAGAACTGGGGATCAAGAACTAAAGAGAGAAGATGAAGATGAGGGAATGGAGAGAGATACTCAAATGTTCTTGCTTGAGACTTGAGAGGGAGTCTTTCTTGTTATATAGAAAAAAGAAGGCGTAGGCGGTAGCACTGTGGTCGCGTTTACATCTGATTATTGACGTACGACTCCCATCCTCCTGCCTCTGAATGGAGATTTATAATTATCCTTATAATTAATAAATATAAACTATTTTATTACTTATTAATTAGTAAAAAAAATTATTAGATATTTTTATTAATCAAATTAATTAAAATTAATATTTTAAAAATAATATTTCTAATTAAACCCATAAAAATTAAAGTTTTAACCTTAGATGACTTTATTTTATTTAATTAAAACCAATTAAAAATTCAAAAATCTAGGTATATCAATCACTAATTTAATTAAGAAATTTTAAAATATTTTTCATACAAATATTTAATGTACTATAAATTTTAAAATATGTTTTCGAAGTGCCATATCTAGTAAAATTATCATTTTTTTCAAAGGTGTGAGGCACGTGTTTGAATTATCCATTTTTTTCGAAGGTGTGAAGAAAGGTGCGTGTTTGAATTATCATTTTTTTCAAAGGGAATCTTCATCGGTGTAGGTATTTGTGTGAAGTTAATTAATGGATTCCACAGTCATTTCGAATTATCATTTTTTTCAAAGGGAATCTTCATGGGTGTAGGTATTTGTGTGAAGTTAATTAGTGGATTCCACAGTCATTTCCTCTGGAATCCGGTACTCCAGCCTGCCGGAAAATTATGTCAGGCCCGGCCATTAATTCAATTCAATCCCGATTTTCATTTAACAGATTTTCTAAGTGAATTTTCACATCACATTAAAGTTCAAAAATTTTAAATTTTCCTTTAAAACATCCTAAAAAGTGGTTTAATAATTAAAATTTTAAAATTTTAAGTTGAAAATTTCAAATATGAATTTTATATGGAGTGGAGAGGAAATTGAAAAAAAAAAATTTATATAACTCATTATCATTATATATACAAAAAAAAAAAATCATTTAAAACATAAAAATTTGTGAAAAATTAATATTTAAAAAAATTAAGATTTTTTTCCTTCAATATTTATAAATTTCAAAATTAATTTTCATCTAAATAATTTTAAGGGTACACTACAGCCATTTATTCAAATAACAGGAAATTTTTTTTACAACCAGAGATAACCAATCAAATAACAGTACAAATCATCCACAGGCAATATCATTAGAGAGAAAATTAGGAGCAGGAACTTTTTTTCTTTTTCGCTGCCTTTCTTACTTCTTTAATAGAGAAAATTAAAATAAAGATTGTGTAAATTTAATGGCATACGATAGATCCATAGGAATATAATGTTATATATTTTCATTTCAAGAACGTTGAGATGAATATGTACACTACGTAGATGCAATCAGCATCAAAGGCCATATTGATTTTCCATCAAGTGGCGACAAGTGTCGAGGACCCATTGGATGGTTGACTTAAAGCTTACGAGTCAATGGAGGTGTTTGTCTATATATATGCATATGTATGCATGACGAAGTATTTCAATTTTGCTGCTTATTATCTTCGATTCATCTTCACACTGATTAATTTAGCTGTCACTTACGGGTCTGTTTTCTGTGAGTGAATAAATAATTAATGGATTCCACAGTCATTTCCTCTGG